GCCACCAACCCACCCCTTCTGTCATGATGTTCACCATGGATTTAAAATTCAAAGATTAAAATCCCAGAGAGGTTGAAGTCCAGAATTTTTAAGTTCAAGTTCAAAAAAATTAATAAAATATTTTTGCCTTTGTGAGTTAAAGTCTAAAGTCAAAATTCCTTAGGATAATTTAAAAAGAAATTACAGTCTTCCCCAGTTTCATCTACTCAATTCCAACCAGAGGGGTTCCTGGTGCCTGGGTATATGGGGAGTTCCACTGGGAGCTCCGGCCTAGAATAATTGTGTTCCTTCATGATGTGAATGAAAAATGGGGCTAGATAATAAACCTGACAGGCTCAGGATGCCACATGGCAGGCCTGACAAGCTCAGTGACCAAAAGTAACTACACAGGATAGTCTGATCATAAATTCCTAACTGGGCAGACCATGGTGAGTAGTCACGTCCCAGGACTATAGCTTCCTTAGCAAAGGTCAATCTATCTCATGTGAGTTCTGTCCATTGTTCTTCTGCATCCAGGATAACATACCTTTGAAATGACATAGTAGTTTTCTTTTCTAGACCTCTCAAAGGCAAAACCACAGGCATCAGAGCACAGGATCACAAAACTCTATGTATTGTAAATGTTCTTTACTAACTACCCTGTACCCATCGATGTAAAAGAAGTATGTGTTCCTCCATTTTGCTTTTTAATCCAGTCCTAGAGATTTCCCGGCTATGCTTTCTCCCGCATTCTTAATCTACCACCAATGCATTTCATGTACCTTCTTTACATTTTCTCCTTTTATTTTAATGCATAGAAGGAACTGTATAATCGCCATTCTGCGGAGCATTTTCTCAATCTGTTGAGATCTTATTTCCAGGCATGCCTTCAAAAATTTGACTCAAACTCTTATAAAACTTTTCTATAGGCTTGAATGTTCATGATGCCCCAAATGTCATCCATCACACCACTTTTCAGAAATCCGAAGTGTTCACAAGAGGCAAAGCTATAGGTGGCCCTGGACCCATACCTACTCACTGGCAATACAAAAGCAAACAACAAACCCAGCCAAACTCTGGCTTTTAAAGCGATTATCCAGGCAAAAATTATGCTCCAAAACCAGTACCTTGATGTTGTGAAAGACAGCAATAGCTGAGTAGAGTGAGAGAGGAAAGAGAGAGTCTTGGTGTCAGCCTCACCATGGAAAAACTTGCCAATCGCAGTTATCCAGACTCTGTGAGTTGTGAACTTATTGTTCTTTCGGAGATTATTCCTACAAGAAATTAAATACAGCACTCTGTTTGCCATTGTAGGGGTAAGGGTGGAGGGTTTCACTGTATGTCCACTGTTTCCCTTCGAAGAGTAGTGTAGAGGTTCAGAACAGGCCACCCCAAGATGTGCCTCAGTGGTATGTGGATTATTTTGACCTAAAGGGAACTGAGACCCTACAGGCTCAAGAGGAACTTCTGCTCCACCCTTAAAATTTGAATTGGGAGCCTGACCCATAATAAGAGTTATCACCAGAAATGACTTTTGATCTATTTCTGTGGCAGGGCAAACTACTGATTACTGTTGCTCTTCCTGCAATCATATTCTAAAGCCCCAAGGTGCCTTACCTCATCCCTAGCTCAGAATGTCATATTTATCTCAATTTCCCTTTCTGTCTCTAAAACTCTCAAGCAGATGGAACCTCTGTGCGAGGTTCCCACAGACATGTATGTAATTAAACTTGGTTATTTTCTCTTATCCATCTGTCTCATGCCTATTTGATTAATAAATCCGCCCAAAGAAGCTTGAGGATAGGGGAAAGTTTCTTCCTCCCCCACAGTAACATTAAAGACATCCCTACTCTCTTGCAAAGTTTAGAAATTTCAGCAGTCTAATCATTACATCTTATTCTTATCTTTCTGTGTTTGTTTCTCTTCTGACATACTGAAGAACTCTAAAAATTGATTTCCCTTTTGAGTCCTAATCATTTAAAGCTAAAAGTTAATACACAAATGCTCAGTACCACACATAGAACTCTCCTGTAGTTTAAAGTTCTGACCTGTAGATCATGACAAATGTGTTTTTCAGAAAAGAATTGTTCCAACCACAATGAATTTTAATCATTGTGGTTGGAACAATTATTTTCTTCATAATTTGGTGCTTTAAACCTCCATTGCACAATAGAATCACCTGGGAAACTTAAAAACAACAAAAACAACAACAAAAAACTCGAAGATACCTGGGCTCAATACCCAGAGAAATTAATTCAATCACAGTTTGGGGGATGAGGAGGCGTGAAGAGGTAGAAAGATAGGCATCTGTTTAATGAGTTTCCCAAGGCAATTTTAGTGTGCTGCCAGGGGTAAGAACCATTTGTCCTGCTGAGTCCTGAAGCAGCTGCAGTCACAGATGACTCTACCCATCACTATTTCCTGGTTAACTTCCTCGTTTCAATGAAACACATCATCCAGTAGCCTCTTATGAAAGGTGCACAGGATATAAATTTTCTGAGTCTTTAAATGTCTGAAATGTCTTTATTTGGTTCTCATCCTTCACTGATACGGTGAACAAATAGTTCATTATATGAATTAATGATCTAAGAGTTTGCCTGTGCTGCATAGAATTTTATGTTGAAAATAATGATCCCTCAGAATTTTGAAGCATTACTCAGGAATCCTGGGTTTTTCTTAGAGATTCTTAGTGAATCCTACGGAGCTATTGAGAAGCCTCGTGCCACTCTAATTCTCATTCGGTTAATTGGAAACTATTTTTTTCTCTGGAAGTTTTAATAATCTTTATCTCTGATGTTTAGAAATTAAGCATGGGAGAGAGAGGAGAAAGGAAAAGAGAGAGAAAGGTAGAAGGAAAGAGAAGTTGTGATTACATATTGTGTTGAATATCCTTGGCCATTTCAGTTGGGAGACTCATGTCAAACATTTAAAAAATTATTTTCTTAATAATTTCTTTCCCTCCACTGTCTCTATGTTCATTTTCTAGGACCCTACTAGTTGATTATTTGACCTCCTAAATCGAGCCTTCAGATATTTTTTTCTTGGTCTCAAATTTCCTATTTTTTTCCCAAAGATGTCTTTGACTGGTTTCCAACCTCATCACTGAATTTCTTATTTCAGCCAACATATTTAATTTCCTTTTAATATTATTTCAATAAGCATAACAAATTTTTTTTGGTAAATATTCAGGTGATTTTGATGTTTATATGAGAAAATAAACAAGCAACAAGAGCCATAAAAATTCTAAGAAGTACATTGAGAGGGGACAAGCCCTATCAGGTATTAAAACATATGCAAAGCCTTAGCAATAAAAACAGTGTGGTATTACGCATGAAAAGTCAGAGCCTTGGAGCAAAACAGATAGTCCAAAAACAGATTCAATCTTATAGATAAATTTAATATGTGATAAAGGTAAAATTTCCAATCAGTAGAGTAAAGGTGAACTCTTTCGTAGAAGATATTGTAGTAAAAGTGCAGCCATTTGGAATAAACCAGAGTTGGATCCATACTTCACACCAAACTTCAGAATAAACTCAAAATGGATCAAAGATATCAATGTAAGGAATTAAACTGTATAATATAATGCAAACATCTAATAGAAGAAAATAGGGGCAAATTCCTTTTTAACTAAATAATAAAGGCCTTTCTAATTATGATTCAAAATTCACAAGTCTCCATAGAAAAGACTGATAAATTTAACTACATAGATAATAAAAACGTTTAAATTTCAAAAACCCCAAAAGAAAAATCAAAAGATAAAGTGGAAAATATATGTAAATTATATTACAAAGGGCTAATATCCCTAATATTAAAAATACTAGAAATCAAGACATAAAGAACAAAAAGATGGAGAGTTCGTGGAAGAAAGAACTATAACTGACCCTTACATATATGAAAATATGAACTTCACTTATAATAAGAAAAAGTAAACTATACCAGAATGTCATTTTTTACCTATTAGATTGGCAATATATATATTTGGTATCACACTTTGTTTGGAAGGCTGAGGAGAACTAGGGAGTCCCACATTTTGTTGGTGCAAAATCATACAACTGCTTATTGAGGTGACTCTGGCATATTTACCAAAATACAGACATTTTTCCTTTGACCTAGAAATCTCTCTTCTGAGGAAATAACCTACACAATCTTCTACATAAGCATAAAAGAACATATGTACAAGTTTATTGATTGTGGCATAATTTGTGAAAGTTAGAGATGATGAACAACCCACATATTTAGCAGTTAAATACTAGTTAAATAAATGCAGGCATACCCATTTGATGGAATACCATGAGAATGTAAAAAAAGAAATGTGGAAGATACCAATTCATGTGAAGAGATTTATCTCCAAGGCTATATCATTAAGTGAAGAAAGGAAGGTACAGAACAATATATAACAGCATATATAGAATGTATAGAACATCCTGCCTGTAATGGAATAAGAGTATCTATTGTATTCATCTTCATTTACGTAAACACTGAAAAGATAAATAAGAAACTAATAAAAATACATTCTCTTTGGGAAGAACAATTAATCAATACTCAATTTCTCTAAGAATATTAAATAGATTTGAGTGAATTGTGAGAGTTTTGTTTGTTTTTCTGTTTCCTCAATTATTTACTTTGGTCTCTGTATCAGTTAGGAATGTTTTCAGCTACAAGTCACAAAAAGTTTAAATAAACAAAAAGCAGGTTATTTTTGTCAAAAAAACAAAAAATATGATGTTAGGCAGATGCTGGGCATTAGTTAGGGCTGGTATCTCTAGAGTTGTTTTGGCCTCATAACCATAAGATTACTGCCACAACTCCAACTATCACATCTGTATTCACAGCAAGAGAAAAATATGAGGCCTAAAGGCCTGGGCAGTGGGAGCGCAGCTCGGAGGGAAGTGGACTCCCAGGGACGCTGCTGGGACCGCGCGGCCAGGGCGCCATACCTGGGAAGGGCTGCCCAGCCCCGGCCAGAGCCACCAGCGCTTCCCATGAAAAACCAGCTCCGCAGTCCCCCAGCGAGAACGCACATGTCCCCTTGGGGGCGTCAGAGACTGGAGTTCCAAGCTGGCACCCGCGCGGGAGCGGCGACGGGTGCTGGAGCCGTGTAGGGCGAGAGCGCCTAATGGCTGCAGGAGGAGCTGGAGGCGCACGGCGGAGTGTCCTTGCTGCAGCTCCACTGCTGGCCTCACGAGCATTCCGAGTCATCGCACATCGAGACGGCCATCACCCTGACCATCTCGGGCCTCATGTTGCACCGCCGGCACTAGGACAACCTGCGCATTCTCTCCATCGACCCCGACGCCGCCGACAAGGAGCGCTTCACCACGCGCAGTAAGGCGGCCACTGTGCTGCTCTATGAGGCCGAGGCCGAGTGGCAGCCAGAACCCGGCGCCCTCGCCTCGGTGCTTGGGCCTGCTCCTGCAAAAGCTGCGAGACGACGGCTGCCAGGCCTACTACCTCCAAGGTGGTTTTAACAAGTTCCAGACAGAGTACTCAGAGCACTGCCGTGACCAATGTGGACAGCTGGTCCTGGCTGAGCAGCTCGCCATCCACCTCAGCGCTGGGCCTGGGGGCCCTCCGCATCAGTTCCTACAGGGAGTCCGATCGAGAGCAGCCCAGCAGTGCCACCGAGTCGGACGGCAGCCCTGTGCCATCCAGCCAACCGGCTTTCCCCGTCCAGAGCCTGCGCTACATCTGCCTTGGCCGTGCCAAGAACTACACCAACCTTGACGTGCTTGGCAAGTAAAGACGGCATCAAGTACATCCTCAATGTCACGCCCTACCTGTCCACTGCCTTCGAACACGGCGGCGAGTTCACCTCCAAGCAGATCCTCATCTCTGACCACTGGAGCCAGAACCTCTCATAGTTCTTCCCCGAGCCATCAGCTTCATCGATGAGGCCCGCTCAAGGAAGTGTGGTGTCCTGGTGCACTGCCTGGCAGGCATCAGCCGCTCAGTGACGGTCACTGTGGCCTACCTTATACAGAAGATGAACTTGTCACTCACTGATGCCTATGACTTTGTCAAGAGGAAAAAGTCCAACATCTCACCCAACTTCAACTTTATGGGGCAACTGTTGGACTTCGAGTGGACGCTGGGGCTGAGCAGCCCGTGTGACAACCACACCCCCAGCCAGCAGCTGTATTTCTTCATGCCCACCAACCACAACCTGCTCCCACCCTCGAGTCCACGTGAAGCCAGGGGCACAGGTGGGCCTGTGAGTGGGCCCGTGCCTGCCTCGCCTGAGGAACCCGAACATCGCCTGTGCCCAGAGGCCCAGGCTGAGGGTTGGCCAAGCTCCCCTTGCTATCCTGGGGTGGGCCAAGCCAAGGCAAGGCCTCCATCTGCAGGACTTTCCACAGAGGCCCCTCAGCGCTCAGACCTACAGCTGCAGTTTGAGTCTAGCGGGGCCTCATCCTTGTCCCAGGACACTCCGTTCTGCTGATGGCCTAGGCAGTTTGGGTATTTTTTAAAGACATCCATGGACCTGAGTTTATGTTTTACTTTCTTCAGGTAAATCCAAGGTCCCCATAGCAGAGAGCGCTCATGTTCTTCTTGACTTTTTTTTTTTTAAATGAAAAGTACTATTTTCAGGCTACATACAACAGTAGATTGTATAAACCAGTACTTCATCCCTTTCTTGATCCTGCAAGAAAGTGTTCTCAGTTTTGCTTTTCTATTTCAAAAGGCAATTATTGTGGTTTTTGTTTTTTGGGGGGTTTTTTTGGTGGAAATGACAAACCAAATACGTTTTGCACATGTGTGAAGCCTCCACTCTGCAGCAGGCCCTTCTGGAAGGGTAGCTTGCTGCTCCTTTTGTGTCAAACGCTAGTCTCGCCGACATCTCCCACCTGGCCCAGCCTACCACGGCCCCACCTTGGCCTGTGATGGTCACTGCAAGTTGTAATGAGTTGGTCAGCTGAACAAGTGACTTTTGTGTTCTCTGCTCTCCCAATTGCCCCTCTGGTGGTCCCTGCAGACTCCTCAAGGTAGGAGGTGGGGGGCCCTGCAACTAGACGTGGGGCGGTGGGGGACTCCCAAGCAGTAGCATTAGCCCTCTGGGCTCCGCCCCTGGGAGGGCCTGGGCCCCAGGGCCCTTGTCTATACATACCCAGTACTTCTCTTTCTCTCTTTCTATGTTTGTAACTGAGAGTGGAGGTCCAGTGGCTGGGAGAAGCTAGGCGGTGGGGGCCTAGCCCTGCTTCCCAAGTTTCTGTCCCTCACCCTGGCTGTTGCTTTGGTTCATCTGCCACTCCTAGCTCCTTTGTCCCAGTGGAAGCAGGCCTTCCACTCACCTTGCCCATAGCTTCTACTACCAGGAACCTCACACCCATTTCAGTCCCAGGGCAGGCGCAGAGAGGGTGAGGATGGACAAGTGAAAGGGATGTGAGGCTCTGTCCACTGCCCCTACCCTCAGTATCCACAGAACAAAGCCATGGATTCCATTATCCTCTTTCAGTTTTGTTCCTTTTGCAACCTTAGTTCTACCAGGTGTCAGGACTGCATGGGGGCCAGGGAGGGGAGAGCAGTCAGGCTGGGTCCCCGAGCAAGCCAGCATTCAGCACGTGAGCAAGGCCACAGCCCCTATGAGCCCACTGCATCTTAACTCGCAAGGGTTGTTTTCAGGAATTCTTTAAGGCAGCGGGTTAAAACCTTGTCACAATTGAGAAATTGACAAAAAGCTTCCATGTTGTACATGGTTCTCTTTCTCTCTTTCACTTTTAAAAAGGAAAAGCCAGAAAGATGCATCAGATTTTTGTAAATGAGGTATGCCAAGAGGGTAGCCAGTTTTGCTTAATCATGTTACGAAGGAAAAGTCGTGACCCTACACACACACACACACACACACACACACACACACACACACACACAAAACATCCCAAACCAGCAATGAGACTTTGTTTATATTGCAAATAAATATTATTTTTTCTTTAAAAAAAAGAGAGAAAAAATAAATAAATAATGCCAGCCATTTCTGATGCCTTTTTCAGCAAAGCACAGCTTTTCCAGAACCTCCTAACAGACTTCCCTAAACTGGGTCATTTGGTTCCCCAAAGAAATCAGGATTCTCATAACTAGGTTGGTCCGATGATGATTCATCATCTAGAACTGGGCACATTACCACCTAGAATATATTTGAGGTTCTATTAAAAGAAAAGAACAGAGAATGGCAGGGTGGGCTATAGTTTCTGTCATTTTGGGAGTTTCTTTCCTCAATCACTGGTTTGTTCATTCTTATTTAAAAGTGAGACATCAAAAAAAGCTGCTGGGAAATAGACATACATTGGCGAAGCTTATCGTGGGGCAGGATGATCATGCTAGGATGATTAGCCAGAGTCTGCTCTTTTGCAGAATCCCAAATATTGGTATAGGGAGGTGGTTTCTGCATCCCTGTTTAGTTTGTCCAGGAAAGAATCCTGAAGAAGTCTGCTTTGGAGCAGGGACAACTGGGGGTAGATGTTAGAGGGAAGAGGTTTGGGGTCAGACTATTATTTCATACTCAGGCTTCCAGATTGATCAAGCAATCAACCCCCTGACCACAATCCCAAGACTCAAGACTGTCCTCCCAGTTCCTGGTCTCTTTAAGGCAGTGGTTTTCAATGGGGAGCAATTTTGTTCTCCCAGAAGAATTGCCAAATTTAGCAAATAAATATACAGGATGCTCAGTTAAACATGAATTTCAGATAAATATGCAATATTTGGAACATAATTATACTAACAAATTATTTGCTGTTTATGTGAAATTCACATTTAACTAGGCATCCTATATTTTATCTGGTAACCATATCCCCAAGGAATATTGGCAATGTCTGGAGACATTTTTGGTTGTTACGACATCAAAGGTGGGAAGGCCAGGGTTGCTATTAAACATCCTACAATACCCAGGACAGTCTCCCACCACAAAGAATTACTTGATCCAAAATGTCGATAGTGCCAAGGTTAGGAAACCCAGCTTCTACGAAGAATAAATCTCCAAACTCCTGCCTTGTATTTTGTGCCCAGGGTGGGGCAATCATTTATTTAAACAGTTATTTTAAATCTCACCATGATTTATTTTTCATGGTCATAGCAAAATCTCAAACATTCTTCTTAGTTTTCTTCTAAAGCTAATAAGCAGACCAAGGAAGTCCTGGCCAAGATAACACAACATTTATATTAAGTCCAAGGGCATGAGGGCTAGCTTGCATATGCCCCTTGAGCCTTTTCTTGGTAAGGCTCAGATTCAGAGCCAGCCTCACAAAGCAGCCCTGAAGAGCTGTGGGTGGGTGTGGGGGGATTAGAGGGAGCCTTGCCCATCACATTCAGACAGGGAGTTCCACCTTCCGGACTGTGAGGAGAGGGCTGTGGGGTGCACACAGCTGCACTTCTCATGAAGACAGCCTTTCTTTGTAGGCCAAGGGGTGGGAGGGGAGCAGGCAGTGGAAGGTGGGGATGGTATGCCATGGCTGTTAATCAAACAACTTTTAAAAGAACAGGAGAGGAAGGAAGCAAAGGGGTGGGGAAGGTTTTCTGGTTATGAGATGTGTATAAATTCATGGGAGGTTATTTGAGGATATTTACTCCAAGCCCTATTCACAGTTGTCCTTGAAATGAATACTGGAACATTAGAATTCAGGGGTAATCAATCCTTTTCCATAATTTCCTTCCCTCCCAGCAGACCCCATGTCTCACACATGTTGGTGTATATGCAGACAGAATGAACACTCAATTTGTAAACCTAGATGTCCCTGAGGAACAAAATTACTGGTAGGTTTTTTCCCCTGTATTTTTCCTTTTTTTCCCCTTTATATATAAACTAAGAAATATAAAAACTTTTTTTCTTAAACCACTAACTGCTGACTCAAAGATAGAGACCAGGGTGTTTTTGAGAATTTAAAAATAAAAATCCATTCGGGCATTCATTAAGTCAAGCAAGATGAATCAGGCTTTTGGTTATATAAAAGCTTGGCTTTTTCTGGAAAATCTGTCTTTGCAGTTCTCTGCTTTCTGGAGAAAATAGTGGAAGAAGCATAAGAAGAGGGGCTGTGCAGACAGCTTTACAAACACTGGGAAAGCCCCTCAGCTGTGGCCTAGCATGGCCTAGATAACAAAACCATGTGAGCAAGGGGTGAGAGGGGGCGGGGAACAGCAATGCCCCCTCCTTGATGACCGCTCATCGTTTGTCCGTACAGTAAAGTCACTGAGTTCACTGCCAAATAATGTTTGTAATTTCTATCTGAACTTTAGTGACAATCTATTTCTCTCATCTTTGGAAAGTAATGTAAACTGATCTAAATTTTATAAATATATATAAAAGAACCTGATCTTTTCATGTATTATAACTGTGGTAGAGATATCTGAGGAAAAAATTCAGAAAATATTTAAAAAGTAAAAAGTAGAGAAAATAATATTTGAACCCATAATTGAACGCTCACAGAGATAATCCCTGCCTTTGGGTTATTTCTTTCCAGGGTTTTCTCTAAAACTTAGCTTTTAGATTAAAATCTTGTGATGTCTCTTTCTTCAAATGCAAGTTCATATCTCCCTTTAATATAAGAACTATTATTTATTGAATGATTACTATTTTCCAGGCACAATGAACACCTTTGAGCAAAATTATTTTTAAAGATAAATTTCCAAAAATAAAAATGGAATTGCCAAAAATGTCTTTAAGGAGTTTTACATATAGCGTCACATTGATGTCCAAATAGGCCCCTTTTTCTATATCTTCATAAGTAACAGAAATTATGATTGAAAAAATTTTAGTTGATTTGTTTAGAAAGGAATTTATAGTAAGTGGTTTGAATTTAATTTTCCTTTATAAGTAATAAGGTCAATTTTTTAATTCATTTGTTGGTCAGATATATATTTTTATGAATTTTTTTATCCAGTTATTTACTGGGGCTTTAATGTTTTTCAAACCAACTTCAATGAATTATTAGATAGTAAATATTTTGTCATTTGTCACGGTCTCAGTTTTGTCCTCAGGTTGCTATTTTCCTTTAACGTTTGATTACTTTTTTCATAATGTTTGAAAATGCTTATTTAAACCTCTTAGTGTTTTCTGTTGTACTGTCTTTCATAAAGACTTCAAATACTCACTTCTCTTTTCTCCTAGTAACCTGTTTTTAACACTTCTGAGAGATTTCTCAGTAATATTTATTTAAAATTAAGGTTCAAAATAGCACACAGAGAAACACAACATAACCATATCTCGACCTCAGCTTTACTTGAAAAATTGCTGTAAGCTGTGGATCTCAAACCAACCAGAACTGATTTGTACAAGCCAGCCCCAGGCACACTTCTGGATCCTCATTCCCCTGGCATTATATGAGGTTCTCGTTATATGAGGTCGAAAATTCCCCATTACAGCTAATTTGAAACTCTTCTTCTGCCATGCAGATCCACTTGCCTTTGTTCCATTCTCAGTAGAGACAGAGCAGCTAGGCGTTGTTCCCCAGACAA